GTGTATGTAAAAAAAAAAAAAAGTACATGGAGTTTGCTACCATGGCTCTCTAATAAATAACATTGTTCAAAGATATTATTTTACTGAAATGTATTTCTTATTAGATGTATTTTCATGTAATCCCTACTTCATTGCTCTAGGAGTAAGAAAGCTGTTTGGTATGTTGCTCAGATTCTTATCTCAAAAGAAAATAAGTTTTTTTTTATTTCACACAAAAAGGAAAAAGTTTATGTCTTTCTGGAGATATGTAAAACACGTTGAAAATTGTCAAGAGTTGAGGTCCGGAAAACTTGCCTTACAATAAGAGACTAAAGGAGATCAATCTAACTAGTTTATTGAAGAGAAGGTCAAGAGGTGGCTTGATCAGTCTTTAGGCATCAGCACACTAGAGGACTCTTTAATCTAGCAGATGGATGTGTAACAAAAGCCAGTGGATGGAGCTGAAGTCAGCAAAGTTCAAATTAGAAACAAGGCACAACATTTTAACAGGATAAACCACCACTGGCACAGATTTCCAAAGGATGTAGTAAAATTCTCCATCACCTGGAGTTTTTAAATCAGAATTGGCTGACTTTCTAAAAAGAAAAAGTGGGTGAGGTAATATCTTTTATTGGACCAACTTCTGTTGGTGAGAGACAACCTTAAAGACTTTAAGGTGCCACCAGACTCCTTGTTGTTTTTGTAGATACAGACTAACACGGCTACCCCCTGATTCTTGACAGTCACTCTACTTCAACCACAAATTGTTGGACTAAATTCAGGAGTTCTGAGTGAAATGTATGGGTTGTGTAATACAGGAGGCCAGCCTAGATGATCATAACAGACCCTTCTGGGATTGAAACCAATGGATTTAAGGTAAAGTTGCCTGGCTTCACATTTTGATTCTGGTTTTGTCAGAAAGGAGTGAATCACGGTCTCTGAAACCTGCTTTTGGTTTGCTGAGACAGATCAAACCACAGCTGGCAGGTTTTGCAAATCTTATTACTATGTTTCATACAATAATTCGTGTCATAACACAAACAACCTGAATAATTAAACAGTAGTATGCTGACATGTTACTTTTCATATATTTGAGTAAGCTGTGTCATCCTGACACAGAAGAAAGATAGAGAAGTTTGGTTATATAAAAATATCGAGAGGGCAATTTGATTTTTTTAAAATATAATTACTTCATACTACAAAATTAGAGAAGAAACAGGGTTGGGTCCAGCACAGTATATTGTGACACAAGGACCCATTGGTACCAGCTGGCAAAGGGTTCAATGTTCTATAACAGCAACTCCTATCAGCTTGACAAACTGACTACACCTAACACACTGCTTCCATAGTATTTAGGTCATGTGAGGTGTGTAATAAAAAGGCCATGTGAGGTGTCTATTACAACTGTATGTCATGTAGATCCTCAATCATTGCAAGATGATTGTAAGGATATTTAAGGAGCTGTGTATATGTACTGAAAATATGTTTTAGAGTCTGTGTCCCAGGCATGGTTGACAAACAGGTTTTGCCAGACAAAGGGATGTACATTTACCTGTTGCCTAGGTTCACATGTAGATTAAGCATCGTAAACCACCACGATGGAAGTCTGTTTTGCATGTGGAGTCAACACCAGTATGTGAAAACAACTTGGAGCTAGTACACCAAGAAAGGAACCACAGGACTCATCCTGACTCTGGGGAAAAAACAATGAGTTCTGGGTAATGTATGGAGAAGCAAGGACATTTTGTTATCCTGCACTGAGGAAGTAAATGGACAGTGTGTTTACACTCATGAAAACAGGATCTCAATAAAGATTTGGTTGAATGCACTGAAAAAGGCTTAAGGGTGCAATAAACTTATTTAGACAAAAGGTTAGACTGCTAAGCTAAGTTTAGTTTCGAAGAAGCGTGTTTTACTTTTGCTTTATATGGAACCATTTCTCTTTCCATTATCCTTGTTCACTATCTCTTAAATCTTAGCCTTTAATAATAACCTTGTGATTGTTTTCACTATAACTATATCTCAGTGCTGTGATGTTATAAAGGACTTGATCCGGAGTTGTACCAGTCAAGTTATATGTAAACTGTTCCCTTGGGGACAAGAAACCTGGTAATTCCTGTGAGTATCGAGTGACAGGGGCTGGATATTAGAAGGGAATGCTTTCAGAGGGGGCCAGGGACTGGGGTGCACCTGTTGCTAACCTGCAAGGCAAAGTAAGGCTGGCAGGACCCTGAGGAGATTGTTTGGGTGGTTAATGGGCTGGTGGGGTCAGGGAGCTGACATCCAGTTAAGCACATGCAAATCTTCCTCTCACCAGAGGCAGGGAGATAACAAGGTGACTCTCAGTCCTGGGTACCCTGAGAACATGTCACATCTATCTACAACTTCTGGAATGTAGAAATCCCAGAAGACCATGAATGCTGGCTCTGGGCAGGCCAATCTTTTTAGGCTGAAGGTCAATTTGTTGCACAAGTCTTTTTCCTTCAGCCCCCAAAATGTTTCACACTGGGAAAGACTGCACAGTGTAAGTGAGGAGTTATGTAAGTCTAGGCCAGGCATTATTTCTCCCTTGGTTGGGAGGGCCGAAAGCATCAGGCCAGTGTGTGAAAGTCTTTTGAGTAAAGCACAAGACTTCCAGAAATTCTTCTGCACCTCCTCTATCCCAATAGCAGACAGTTACATAACACATCACCCATTTTTATTTGTAATGATGGTTCTCTAACAACTATCATCACTGCCTTGAGGGACCTCTCCTACCCATACTATTAGAAGAGTTCATGGGTTGCCACCCTCCCTGCTCCCCAGCTCCTCCTTTAGCCTTTTTTTTTTTTATGTGAGAGGGTTTGGTTTTGGATACCTGGTCCCTTTGTTTTTCCTGGTTCAGTTCCTGTATGGAGCAGTCACCCAGAAAGAGCCACAACCCCTTTACATTTCTTTTCCCAGTCAGCCCCATTTAGGACTTAAAAATAGTTTAGAAGCAGGCTCATTAAGACCCAGGTTGTCATATGGTGATTGGGGGAAGGGAGACAGATTCCGTCTCTGAGCAAGGATGCTTGTGGGATATCCAATTCTGTATTCTGCAATTCCTTGCCCAGCCATTCAAATCTCCTCCTTCGCGCTTACTGTCTGAGTCCCAATTTCTCTCCCCAACTCCAAGTCCCTCCCTCTTCCCAGTCCCAATCTCTTTACCCAACCAGTTCCCACCTCCATCCCATTCCTCATCTGATCTGTCTTGCTCCTTGTCCCAATCTCCTTGTCCAGCCAGTCCCGGTTTTCCCATCACACCCTAGCTCCTTGCCAAATCTGTCTCTCCTCCCCCACTGCCCAGTTCCTGGAACTAGTTCCAGTCTCCTTGCCCAGCCAATCTCAGTCTCCTTGTTGCTCCTCCCCCAATTCCTTGTCCAATCTTTGTGTTCTGCACCCCAGCCAACTTCTCCCAGTCTCTCCTCCTGTCATTTCCCTCACTGGCTTCTAGTCCCTGCCTCCCTTCCCTTGGGTCTGAGCCTTCTTGTTCAGCCAGTTCCAGGCTTCCCAATTCCAACTCCCAGTCACAGTTTCTCTCCTCTTCTCCAAGCCCAGACTCCTTGTCCCAATCTACTCCTTTCCCTCCCACGCTGGTCTGGCTTTTTCCTCGTGTATTCAAATCAGATGGCTTCCTCCACCCTGCTGCCTGAGTGCCAGCAGGGGAGCGATCGAGAGCCCAGGAGGGACAGGTTCCCTGCTCTCACTTCCAATGCTTGATCCCACTCAGGCCTGGAGCAGCTGGGAGCAACCCTTACAGGGAAGGTCCTTCTGAGCCCCTGGGCCTCTCTGGGCAGGAGTCTGCTCAGTTGCTCTGTGGGGATGGCTCACGTACAGTCTAGTCAGCACTATGAGGGGATGGAGCATGCTCAGTAAGGAAGTTCAGAGATTTTAGTTGTTAACCTCTAGCAAGTCTCTACTGAGCATCTGTGAACTGTGATTTTTCAAAGGCTTATAACTTTGTCAAATTCAGGTGGATTTTCACAGGGTTGGCAAAAAGTACATCCCTGACATAAAGACAACCCTCTGCCAAATTTCAAGTTCCTGCTCCACAGCCTGGGGGCACAACAGCATTTAACAGAAAAGGTCTCCATTTTTAATATGGGCAAAACAACCCATTTTTCCCTGGCCTCGTTCTCAGAAATGACTGAACCATTTTGTCTGAAATGTTCTAGTTCAGCTTGAAGCAAACACCCAGCAGGGGAAATTCCAGCCCAAATGGTTAAAGTTTGCCATAGTTATAAACACCTGAAAACAGCATCTTATAACAACAAGTGTTTGGTATCACTAATAATAGGCAGTGCTACCACAGTTATGTAACTGGCTAATGTTATAATTTTAGAGGCCAGCTGACAAATTATCACTGCACTAGACTTTTACCTCTGGACACCTATTGTCAAACCTGTGTTAGGTCATGTCTAAACAAGGGCTTCATGGAACATATTTAACTTAGGACTGCATCACATAACTAGCAGAAAACTTGACACTATTCATCATCACTGGCAATCTTTGGTCAGAAGAGGTGCAGAACTGAATAGCAGGCAATGACAGAGACGTGCAATGATAGTTGTGTGGAGAAGCTTGCATGGCACCTGTCTCATGCTTTGATGTGCCATCAAACCCTCACTTGAATGAGCATCAAGTTTACCCAAAATTTTAAAAACAACATTATAATTTTGCTTACACGTGGATGTATTTTGAGTTTTAATATTCAAGCAATAAAACTAATTATCCCAGCCACATAATTCTGTTTAGATTTTTAATTATATTCTAGATTGCCTTCAAGAGATTATTATTGCACCATTATCCATAAGGAAACATTTACTGCTCTTCATAGGAGTTCACCCTTTTTTTTCTTTTGAATTCACATTTTTTTTTGTAAGTTTTAAAAACCGTCTTTGGGCTACCTGGGGTTGGGAAAATACCAACTTTTAAAAAAAAACCCAACAACTGTGAAAAGACTCAGTGTTAAACTGATCTAGATTTGACTGGGTACTCACTCTGTCACATAGCTCTTCAAATGTGAAGTCTGCAATGGTTCCACAAGCTTTATTCAGCTTCAGCTCTCTGCCTTGCACTTTTAGAATCCTTGGTCTAGTTACTATGGGAACATGAACAAAGACTCAATCTTGTCTGGATAATTACTATAAAATTCATCTCTTACAGATAGGAAATGCATAGCTTGATGAATAATAGCACATGATTCAACACATAAATTAGACAAAATGCTGATACAATGACTGCCACTTGAGTGTGGCATCAACCCATATACAGCAATGGAACTTATTAATTGGTCAGTGGAGATTGGGCATTGTGTTCTAAATGTATTCTCTTTCAAGAGAAATTAACTTACGTACAATCATTTTGTTTCTGAGCCAGCTCATCAAACAACTTATCCATGACAGCCTCCACATCAGCTTCACTTGTGCTACAGTGAAAAGAATAATAGAATATGAAATTAATAACACTTGAAGCCAACATCAAACAGCTGCCTGAGCCTGCTTAGCTTTTTGCCCATAAAAAACAGAGAACAGGATGTTATGCTCTAAATACAAACATTAGATTTAGAATACACTTAAAAGCAGAGAATATTAACTCTCAGGTAGATGATTCTACCTTATTTGCATACACTGAAAGACTTCTGTGTTTTGAGCTGTTTCCAGTAATGAGGCAATACAGGCAAAGCAAATCCATTAACACTATGTGTACACAATGAGAAAGAAAGGCTTCTGGCTCTATCCTGCATGCAAAATAAGAGCAAATAGACAAGGCAAGGCAAAGCAGTCAGGCATCTGAAGATGTATCCATTGAAATCTCTGAGACATTCTGAAATTAAATATTGAAATGACTTTTTAAAAAACTGACTGTGCTGATTAAACATTTTCGAGTTAAAGTATCAGCTTTGAAATACCAATCTGATCAATCAACACATCAGTAAATGTATCAGATTTCTTCCATTATTTGGGAAAGATCAGCTATAAACAGCAAAACCTCACACAAAATCTCCTTGTGGAGCACACAAATAAGCTTTTTGCTTATCTGGTGGCCACCATGACTATTAAGAAATCTGTACAATCACAGAATATTTTCTATTCTAATTAGAAGACACTATATGGTTTACAGAGTCCAAATTTATAAGTGTCATAGTTTCTGTGGCCTTTTTTTTGACTTGACTGAGCATATTATTGACACTTCTCCTTGAAAAACAGAGTATGAAAACTGATAACAGTAACAAAAAACTATTGTATATCATCAGGCAAAAACTTAAGTATACAATACTTCATCCAAATTCATACATATTGATCTGTCAGTGAATTTACAGTTGGTGTGGAAGTCCACCTTTAAGAAGTTTCATTGGTAGCATAGTTGTAGGAAACAAAACCTCACATTGTTTTCAACTGCATCATGAAGTATAAAGTCAGTCTGAAGTGCTAGGAATGTTATATTTTTCAGTGACACCTTCTGCAAGTGCCATTTCAAAGAGTAACGCTTTTAAAAACCAAATCTTCTAAATGGAAAGTTGTGTCGGCGTAACAGTATAACTTTCTTTAATTCATATTAGAATCTCTCATTAATAGTATTATTTCTGTGGGACATTATTGCAATGAAATGACTTTAGGAAGGAAGTAGTTCAATCAGAAACAAACCAGGAAATGTTTGACTTGAGTGCTACAATGAGCAGGAAGTGCATGACTACAGTTTTTTTAGGTGGATATTTCATTCCTAAAATTCCATACAATTCCTGAGAAGATTTGTTTTGGAAGCTGAGAGTGAGACCAAGCAAGTTTACTTCGATCATCACTTCCATAACTTTGATTATTATATGCAGAGTCTGTTTGAAGAGGAGTGGAAAACAGTTTTAGCCACATTTATTTACATATTTAAAATAATAGACTATATAGATTATGAAGGAAGAAGAGGATTTGTATTTTATAAAATAATTCTAAGTGATAACGCTATGTGCATATTATGTAGGTGCCCTAATGATTGCCTTTACTAGAAAATTGAGTAGTGTCAGAGCACACCTAGAGGAGTCATGTTTGATGTTAAACACAATTTTGCAGCCACTGTAGACAGGGACAAGCTGCGTTTAACATTGCAGTAGTTGGTCATGGGTAAACCCTGCTTGAACCATTAGAAATTTAATTGTAGTAGGCCTGTCAAGCGATTAAAAAAATTAATCACGATTAGTCGTGTGATTAAAAAAAATAATTGTGATTAATCGTGCGATTAATCGCACTGTTAATAATAGAATACCATTTATTTAAATATTTTTGGATGTTGTCTACATTTTCAAATATATTGATTTCAATTACAACACAGAATACAAAGTGTACAGTGCTCACTTTATATTTATTTTTTATTACAAGTATTTGCACTGTAAAAAAAAAGAAAGAAATAGTATTTTTCAATTCACCTTATACAAGTACTGTAGTGCAATCTCTGTATCATGAAAGTTGAACTTAAAAATGTAGAATTATGTTAAAAAAAAACCTACATTCAAATATTAAACAATGTAAAATTTTAGAGCCTGCAAGTCCACTCAGTCCTACTTCTTGTTCAGCCAATCACATAGGCAAACAAATTTGTTTACATTTGCAGGAGATAATGCTGCTTGCTTCTGGTTTACAATGTCACCTGAAAGTGAGAACAGGTGTTCTCATGGTACTGTTGTAGCCAGTGTCCCAAGATATTTACATGCCAGATGCGCTAAAGATTCATATGTCCCTTGATGCTTCAACCACCATTCCAGAGGACATGCATCCATGCTGATGATGGGTTCTGCTCGATAACAATCCAAAGCAGTGCGGACCCACATATGTTCATTTTCATTATCTGAGTCAGATGCCACCAGCAAAAGGTTGATTTTCTTTTTTGGTGGTTCGGGTTCTGTAGTTTCCGCATTGGAGTATTGCTTTTTTAAGACTTCTGAAAGCATGCTCCACACCTCATCCCTCTCAAATTTTGGAAGGCACTTCAGATTCTTAAACCTTGGGTAGAGTGCTGTAGCTATCTATAGAAATCTCACATTGGTACCTTCTTTGCATTTTGTCAGATCAGTGACAGTGTTCTTAAAATGAACAACATGTGCTGGGTCATCATCCAAGACTGCTATAACATGAAATATATGTCAGAAAGCGGGTAAAACAGAGTAGGGGACATACAATTCTCCCCCAAGGAGTTCAATCATAAATTTAATTAATGCATTTTTTTTAATGAGCTTCATCAGCATGGAAGCATGTCCTCTGGAATGGTGGCTGAAGCATGAAGGGGCATACAAATGTTTAGCATATCTGGCATGTAAATACCTTCCAATGCCAGCTACAAAAGTGCCATGCAAATGCTTGTTCTCACTTTCTGGTGACATTGTAAATAAGAAGAGGGCAGCATTATCTCCTGTAAATGTAAACCAACTTATTTGTCTTAGTGATTGGCTGATCAAGAAGTAGGACTGAGTGGACTTGTAGGCTCTGAAGTTTTACATTGTTTTGTTTTTGAGTGCAGTTATGTAACAAAAAGAAATCTACATTTGTAAGTTGCACTTTCATGATAAAGAGATTGCACTACAGTATTTGTATGAGGTGAGCTGAAAAATACTATTTCTTTAGTTTATAATTTTTACAGTGCAAATATTTGTAATAAAAAATAATATACACTTTGATTTCAATTACAACAAAGAATACAATATATATGAAAATGTAGAAAAATATCCAAAATATTTAATAAATTTCAATTGGTATTCTATTGTTTAACAGTGCGATTAAAACTGCGATGAATCGTGATTCATTTTTTTAATCGCGATTACTTTTTTTGAGTTAATTGTGTGAGTTAACTGCAATTAATCAACAGCTCTAAATTGTAGTAAATATTTTAATACTAAATTGTTTCTATGGTTGATATAAAATTAATAAACCAATTCATCATCTATGAGATGTATGAAGCTTTCAGTGGCATGCTAGTCATTATTTAACTTTTAAAACTTTTTCAGGTAGCACTTAAAAGTCACATTTTTCTATATGAAGCCTTGAAAAGGAATTGCAGCTCTGTAAATTTTGTAAATTACAGAATGGTAAACCTGATCTTTCTTTATAGTATCCCTCTTCTTGCAAAAGAAGGTCCCTCAACTCCAAACGTCTGTAGCATTAGAAGACACAGCCACTCCCCATCAATAATTAGAAGACACAACTACTCCCCCAAAAATGTAAAAGGGAATCTTAATCTTCATTAAAAAAAAAAAGGAAGCTTCTAGTATTCAGTAGGATGATACTACTACTGAGGGTGGTGTCTTATTCTGGTATTTCAAATGAGTGGTACTTATTTTGCAGGAAGAGCTTGGAAGATTACTACTACGTTCCCCTCCGGTCCCCTCCAAAAATCTGACTTCCATTCAAAGCACAGAGACATTTCCATTTTTCAGGACACACACATACCCAGTTTATTTATCAAAATTAAAGTTGTGCTAATCATACTTATTAATAGACAGCAGGGTGCGAGCATGGTGGACAAGAATCAGTCAATTGAGGGGGGGGGCAGGTGGTGAGCAGAAGGAGGGACATGGGAGAGTTGGTAGCAAAATATTTCAGAGATCTGACAAAAAATGTCAATGCTGGCTCTACACAGACTGAAGGTCCTCGTGCATGTAAAAGAAATGTGTATTCCTATGGAGATGGTGGGAAAGGGAGGCAAAATGTATCCATCCCTCTGTTGGAGTTGCAAGGATTCGACTATTTTTTCTTTGCTTCACATTACATTATCTCAGTGGTTTTCAAACTTTTTTTCTGGCAACCCAGTTGAAGAAAATTGTTGATGCCTGCGACCCAATGTAGCTGGGGATGAGGGGCTTGGGGTGTAGGAGGGGCTCAGTGCCGGGGCAGAGGGTTGGAGTGCAGGGGTGAGGGCTGCAGAGTGGGGCCAGGAATGAGGCGTTCAGGGTGTGAGAGGGGCTCTGAGCTGGGGCAGGGGTTTGGGGTGCGGGAGGGAGTCAGGGCTCTGGGCTGGGGGTGCAGGATCTGGGCTGGGGCAGAGGGGTTTGAGGTGCAGGAAGGGGCTCTGGGTTTGGGGGGGGCACAGGGCTGGGGCAGAGGATTGGGGCATGGGGTTAGGGCACAGGCTTACCTCGGGTGGCTCCCAGTCAGTGGCGCAACCGGGGTGCAGAGGCAGGCTTCCTGCCTATCCTGGCACCGTGGACTGTGCTGTGCCGAAGAACCGGCCAGCAGCAGGTCCAGCTCCTAGGTGGAGGTGCGCAAGCAGCTCCGTGCGGCTCTTGCCTGCAGGCACTGCCCCACCCAGCTCCTATTGGCCATTTCCCAGCCAATGGGAGTGTGAAGCCAGTGCTCAGGGTGGGGGCAGCACGCAGAGCCCAGTAGCCCTCCCGCCTAGGAGCCGGACCTGCTGCTGGCTGCTTCCGGGGCGCAGCACGGTGTCGGAACAGATAGGGACTAGCCTGCCTTAGCCGGGCAGCACCGTCGACGGGACTTTTAACGGCCTGGTCGATAGTGCTGACCAGAGCCACCGCGACCCAGTGCCTTACATTCCGCGACCCAGTACTGGGTCACAACCCACAGTTTTAAAACCACTGCACTATCTTGTGTGCTTAGGAGGCAACCAGCATCGTTTTAGTGACAGAAAGCTGGATGGGACTACCTTCAGTCTCTATCACTATCACTTCATTGGTCATAAGTTTTGCAACTAGTATCATGAAGCACTATGTATGGGGCACTAAGCTTTGGGGCAGATGTGTATGTCCCAGTTATGGTCCTTTAAACTGGGAGCTGTAATTGCAGGTCACATGCTTGCTCTTAATCATTTGGCTTACAGCAAACCACATAAACCTTTCTGCCTCTTAGGTGCGGAAGCAAACAAGACAGATCCAGGGTCAGGGCCCCGCGTGCCTCTTGGACAAAAGACTTGAGAGGGAAATAGGTGCAGGAAGCAAGGATCAGATGGGGATGAGGTGGAGAGAGGCTGTGAAGACCTGGGGACAAGGGTTAGAACGAAACTCTGCTGGGTGATTATGACTGTTTACAGTCTGTATTTCTAAGTGAATATAGAAAAGCCCTGAGTAAAAGAACTAGAACTGGACAGTTGCGTGTAGCATGATTTCACTTTCTCCAGGTGGTATCTGGCCACTTCCTTCCATACTCCTTTCCACAGAGGCTAAGTATGCCAGATCCACAGTCACAGCCTTTGAATAAAAGCTGGATTTTGACTTCTGGATTCCCATAGGGTACAGTACAGCACCGTTACGGATTCACCAAATGTTTGTTCATTAAGTATAAGGCCCAGATCCTGCAAAGATTTACACACGCACAATGAAGTCAGTGGGACTACTCATAGGGATAAAGTTAAAAGGTGCCTAAATCTTTGAAGGATTGAGGCTTAAATAAGTAACAATTTTGATTTAATAATCCCAGTAATAAAGAAAAGCAGTCCAACTCCATGTATTTAGAAAAAAGGAAAAACTTTCTAGTATTTAAATTCTCTTCCACTACAATGTTTTTTAATAAAATGCATACTCAAGAGTAATTTCACTGTTGTAATTTTACTAACTAGTTCTTTCTATGTCTAGAGAAACAACTGTAACTCTTTAATTTTATTATGTGGTACAGGGACATTTAATTTCAAGACGTCTGTCTCCCAGGCTGAAGCCCCTGAAGGTTCTCATAAACCTTTGTTACTGGAAACATACTTTGCTGCTACATTGTAATTACACCACAGGCAAGCAGATATTACAGCTATAAATCTCATTTAAAATAAATTTGTCTGTACCACTCTGGTTGCCATTGACCTAATGATAGACTTGCCTTAAAAGCAAGTTGGCAAAGCCAAAAGTCTGTGATGCAAAGGTGTTCCAACATTTTAACTCAAAGAGAAGATGTTTCTATCAGGCAGATGCATCCACTTGTACTTATATGGCTGTATTGTGTATCATTTAAATATTTTTATCATGTTCAAATACAGAGTAAATGCTAAAGTAAATTCATCATGGTAAATACAAACAGATCATCTGTCAAAATAAGACTTTTTTTTATACCCACAAATAGGAACACCCAACATTAAATGAATCCTTCTCAGAAGATTTCTATAAATACTTAATTACTTTAATACAATACGGATGTTCTTCTATTATAAGTGAATTGTACACTCTCCTACAAGAGGATATTCATTACTTTCTAACCATCTGTCACTTCAGTTCTCCAAACACCACACCTCCCTAAAAATCTAATTAGTTTTGATTCAGTTGCACATTGTAAATGAAGCTAGTGTGGATATTGAAAATGTAGTTTAATGAAGTTAACATTATGGCATAATGGAAGGCAGTCCGCTGTACAAAATGGATCAGAAGGCAAAGAAAGAAAAAAAAAGTCACACTCTGCTAATTGTATTATACATTTTCCCTCTCCTACTGAGTGAGAAGTTATTGGCTATTAAGAAAAAAAAAACGGGGGAAAGGCAAAAATCCCACAATAGATCAACTTACAGGTAGTAAAGTTTCCCTGCCGCAGGAAGAACCCGTTTCCTATAATCTATTCCAGAATCAAGTTGCATTGTGCTGCAGTATTTCTACAGAAACAAAAGATAGCATGATTACTTTCCTCAGTTCTGGCATTAGGGAATGCAGGTTATAAAAATAAACCTAAAATACTAAAACCATACAAACACAACACAGCCAATCATACTCTGGAAACAAAGAAGTACCCTACAACTACTTCTAATTTGTAGCAATCTTTATATTTTTTTAGTGCAACCAAGATTATAATTCTTGGTTGCACTAAAAAAAACTATAAAAATTCTTTAACTTGACTGTAAAAGAAATACAGTTTTTAAAATCATCAACTAATTTAAGTATCAGAGGGCTAGCCGTGTTAGTCTGGATCTGTAAAAGGAGCAAAGAGTCCTGTGGCACCTTATAGACTAACAGACGTATTGGAGCCTGAGCTTTCGTGGGTGAATACCCACTTCGTCGGATGCATCACGATGTATTCACCCACGAAAGCTCATGCTCCAATACGTCTGTTAGTCCATAAGGTGCCACAGGACTCTTCCCAACAAAACTTAAATTAGTTGCAAAGGACTGAAGCACAGAACACAAAGATTAAAATGCTCTCCCTAGACCAATTATTTTCTTCATGCCCAACTGATGTAACTCATAACAAGGAACATATATTTTTATTTTTTAATAAACTATTATAACCTTTCCATTTCCATACTTGAACCATAATGTATTCATGATGGCTCACTGAATCTATTATCATAATAACTATTCAAGCAGAAAGCATAGAACCAACAGTACCAGGTTGCATCCTCTTTGGGTGAAATCCTGGCCCCACAGAGTTCAATAGCAACCTCCCACCCCCACCCCATTCACTTCAGTGAGGCCAGCATTTCACCCTTTAGCAGGGACCAGGTCTCTGGGGATGAGGGGATTGGGTTTTTTGAGTTTTTTTGTTAAGTGCCTAAAACACATTTGGGCACTGTACAACCAGCAACCACAACAACAGGAGCCTCAAGAGAAGAAAGGTCTTTAAGGGAAAGGTCTGGATAGATAAACCTGAATCAACAAGATAACAAACAATAAAGCAGAATTTTTTTTCAGGCAGCTGAACACTATTAAGATTACCCTGAATTCCACGAATCCATACAGTACCAAACTCCATGAAATTGTTGTGGATCTCAGCTTTCCTCTGTATTAATAGATTATCTTTAACACTCTTGTTAAAGATTTCATACTTTGTTTTTGAGAATCTTTTCATCAAAGTATGTCTATGACTGTTCAACTAGGCCAGACCATTGATCAAAATTACTTTACTTTAAGCAGATAACTAATACAATTCACAAGTGTCAAATCTAGTCTATAATGACTAGATTGCAGTAAGAATAGGAAACCTTAGAACTACCTTCACTATTAATCTAGGAACACGGTCTCTTTTTGTGCTGCTTTCCTAGGAGTTACTGATTTTTAAAAAAAGTTCACAGGAGGGGACTGTGATGATAGGGAGTCTTGATATCACTTAAAATTTTCCTTGGACATTGCTGAAGATTCTGTAGATCTAAAAGGATCAGCTGTATATTTTGATTTAGCCTTCTTCCTCCTTTTAGAAGGCATTAGAGTAAAGGAAAAAAAGTGAAAAGGCCACCTTAAAAGCACAAAATCCTAGGAAAGAGAATTATTAAAAATGCTTGGGAAGGAAAACATAAAACAACCCCACCCCCCAAAACCAAAACAACAACAAACCTAACAGATTAAATGGCCACAAAAATAAAAAAACAGTAACATTGTAATTGGAAAAAATATGCTTCGGAGACAGGCAGCAGCATGAACAAGCAAGTGAGGGATGTTTGAACTTCCCCTTAGCATCATCTGTATCTACTAGTAGGCAAGGCAAAGTAGCAGAGCCTCAGAATTTAACAGCAAGGCTGGTGTATTCTGCTTTTCTTTGTCAGGAAGCCCTACTCAGCATTTCACTCACTAGAGCTTTCTAGTTCAACAGAAATGGATCAACTAAAATGTAATTTTCTTTGTCAGCCAGAGAAACAAATTTTGGCAAGAGTTATCAGTGCTCTGAGGTCATCTAGATCAGCTTTGGGTCTCTGATAATGCTTTTCACTGGTTTCTTTTCTCTGGAAATAGTGTGGGTTTCTTGGAATTTTGCAGGAGATTATGGGAGTTTGACCTCATTTCCCACAATCACTTTGGGCTTTTAGGAGGCTTTTCAAAATCCTCCACTACTTCAGGGAGTTGTGGGATAGGTACCCAGAGGGTAGCGCAACTGCAATGGTACAGAATTCTTGCAGTATGGCTAAGGGGCAAAGTGCACCTGAAAACACCACAGCTAGTTTGGTCACACAGCACTGTAGGTACTTACAATGGTGTATCTCACTAGTTCAACTACCAATGGTTCTATTTGCTAGGGAAGATGCTTTGCATACTTTCACTTTGCTGGTGAGGAATGGGGACCGATTATGGAGACTACTGTTATGAGCAGGGTGAAACCTTACGGGTTGCCTTTAAACCTCCTTCAAACCGATGTGTGAATGAATTCCCCATTGAAGGCAGATAAGGGCCCACATCTAAAACAAAGCCTAACAGAGTCTGCCCAGAAACTAGCATTAGGTTTGGCTGGGTATTATGATCAGATGTGTGCTGGTGGGTGGCAGAAGTGGGGAGAGAACACCCAGAAAACTAAAAGACTGCCTGAAGGAGCAGCTGAAAACACGATGGCTGACTTTGGAAGCGGTTTTTGTGTCAGGGGTGCAGGCTGAAAAGACTGCTCTTGAGCAAAAGAAGCTACTTCCTGCTATTAGATTCCTTCTGCATTCAGAGACACGGGACTTTGTACATTCTTTGTAAATAAAAAAACCCTGCATTATAAAAATACCTATCACCAATTTCTATTCGCATCTGGAGCACCCACAGGGCCCCAAATTTGAATACTGCACGGGTCAAAAAGGGGCAACACTACTGAGGTTGGCAGAGGTATGTTGGCATTTGTTGCTACTATAATTCATAGCTTGTTTGGCTGATGGGAAGTTTACCATTGTGAAGAAGGCATGAGTTTGTTTTAATCATCCCAATGATTTAATCTGTATAGTGAAGGAGTTTATGGAGTTGAGAATTGTGAATATAAATATTACCTTTGTTGTGCTCTATTTGTGGTTGGTTCACCCTTTTGCTGTATGTCTGCCTCGTCTCCTTTTGTTCATAGGTTAGAAATCTTTTTTAGAAGTGAAAAAGTTGGAGAAGTGAATTGCTATATTGATATTAAATATAAAATGATTGGTATAGGATCACACAAAATCTATTCTGAAAAATTTCTGTATTAGAAACACAAACATGCAGACCAGCTGCAATATCGAACCAGGGTAACTTTAGCCAGAAAGGCAACAGAATATGTACATTTCAGGGACATGAAATATACATCTTGTGGGTTTCCATTTTCTTTGCTCTGCTCGTGTGCAGGGGTGGAGAACCACAGAATGGATTTAGGGGGATTGGAGCACAGGAGCAGTCCGACATGGAGCATTGTATTATACTGAGCAATTGGTACAAGCACAGGTCTAGGGATCAGTTATTGGAACAGACACAATGTCTTCCTCTTTAGAAGCTTTTTGGTATTTATTAAATATTTCTCTTTGGAATGGCTGGTGCTCACACCTTGTTTCCCTGTCATGGCAGATATAGTTCATCATAAGTTCTTTGTTGTCCTGCTTAAATCTGCTCTGCCTTTCTAACAGTCCTGTTTTTTTCATCTTCAAAGCGGAGTAACTAGAATATTCAATCATAGTCCTGTTTCATAGTGCTCTTTGTATCCCTGGCCCAGGCATGCTTATTATTGTCCCAAAATTAATTGAATTGGACCTTAAAGTCAGTCTCGCACTGCCACTGCTTGCCAGAGTGATGCTATACTCAGCAAGGTGCTTCAACAGCGGGTCGTAGATGATCGTGTTCCCTAAAGAGTTTAGCTGCAACAAAATCTCCTTATCTTTCTCTGTGGTCCCCAGTGTCTGCATGTCTGCCACTGACTTATCCTTTTCTTTTTAAAACTGAGGTAGCTCAAAGAGGCCCCAAGGCCCATTTTGCTAGGCATTGTATACAAATAACAAAAAGATGGCCCCTGCACCAGAGAGTTTATAATCTAGCTGGCAACATGCTCATAGGAAAGCTTTCTCTGAAACAGGATTGCTGTTGTAAGATCTTTAGGGCAGAAACCATTTTTTCCTTATGTGTGTGTGTATAGTACCTATCTAGCACAGTGGGGCATCTAGGTGCTACCACCAAACAAGTTAATAATACAAATAATAAATAATAATAAAGGAGTGGATCATTGGATAGTAAATATGGAAGAAACTGATGTTGGCAAAAGTAGCACACAAATGAGCTCTGGTATGTTCTGTATTTTTGCACAAACTTGCCCCCTGTGCAGTAGAGTGCAGAATACAGATGAGACAGAACACTTAAAGCAGTGACTGATGCACTGTGTGTTGGTAGCAGTAAGACTGTTCACACCACTGGGCTATTATACCAGTGCTTCCCATCCACACTAGCACTGTACTGGTGGAGATGGTTAGTGGGGGACCACAAGGTGGTTAGCTTACCTCAAAGCAAGACAAATTCCAATGGTGGTGGAATGCCATGCACTGATGAGGGGTGGGGGGATGGGAGGAGAGAGCTATTTCCCCCTTCTCCCTCAAGATATGGAAAGGAAACTAAAGAGATTTTCATTCCAGGTTTCTCTAATGTAGACACGACCACTGTTGGAGAAGTTTAACAAATCCCAAGTTTTGTTTCCATATTTGTAAATTAGGAATAACATTAACTTACCTACCTCACAGGAGTGTTGTGAGGTTACAGTTAATGTTTGCAAAGAGCTGTTAGGGGAAAATACATTTCCTAATACTTAACACTTAAAGCAACTGGTATGTATTATAAAAAGAATGAAAATATGCACTATAAATATTGTATAAATTCAGAATTGAGGGTTTTCAACATTTGAGATTTATAAAAGACGAAGATTGACATATATAAAAAGGTAAAACTTATGGAAGGGCTATAAGTATGTGGT